GTAACTAGTCCTGTTTTTTTTTTTACATTGTAGATCTAATGCACTATTAGTATATTTACCTGCACAATCTGCTGGGATGCAAAAGGATGACAGTTGTAAACATGCACCATGTTTGGTCCTTGATGTGGAATGGAGATTCACACCCAGAGTGTATAATTCATCACTAAAGGCTGCTCTTTTCGCTCAATTTGGTTACATTATTCCTCTTAAGGCTTCATCCATTGGAAATCTGCTGTAAAAAAATAAAATAAAATAAAAAAATTGTATGATATGAGGTTATTCCAATCATCCCGTTTACTCAATTGTTGGTACAACACCATCCTAAAAATATTTCTCCTAAAATTATTTCTTTATTTTTGTTTCATATCCATAACAAATTTCAAAATATGATTTTAAACTCAAAATGTCAATTTGAGAATTATTGTAGAAACAATATTTATTAATATAGCACCAATTTTTCTTTGTTTGTTTTAGGATTTTTATTTTTCAACAGCCCTGATTGAGGGTGACAATATAAGGCATAAAACTTTAATTTGAACAATATACATGTATAAAGAATATTTTTAGAGAAACCCATGGAGTTTATAACATTAAAATTGGTTTGGATTTTCACAGTTTTTGTTTACATTAATAAGAATAAGTCCTTAGCTCTTTGACAATCGAGACTAATTTAAGTCATTTTCACTTGGAATTTGTAAATCTCTCAATCGTGTTCAACTGTGTTTCATCAAAATAGAGTTTGTGCTTTACAGAAAACATTGAATAAAATAAAATAAAGCCCATTTAATAATTTGGGGACTTCTTAACAAATGGGTTGATGACTTAAATCTAAAAGAGACACCCTGCTCTCAAAAAAAGCTAAAAAAGTATTGAAAAACATACCTCAAGACAATTAAGGTTGAATATCCATACGTGCTTCAATCATATGTTATTCTAAACCCAATAAATTAATATGTTATTCTAAACCCAATAAATTAATGTCTAGTTATCTACACATCTAAATAAATTGCAATCCTTTGCAATTTTGATCACTATTTTTAATCTGTTTAAATAAGAGATGGCTCTCATTATAGTTATTGAACATTTTGATTAGTTTTAGAAAATCCATGCCATTACTGTAAAAGCTTGCATCTCTAAATATCCTATTCATTTTATGTATCAGAACCACAATTTGTTTCAGGGTCAAACCATTTTTTGTTACTTAAACAAAAGATTTTTACATGACATAGGAATGTCTCTATACTTATTAAAATCAGGAAAGTAATCTAATTATATTTAGGTGACAAAATAACAAAAAAAGGACAGACAATTATTTGAAAGGATTAATTAAGGATGTTTATAAAGAGTCTGCATTCACTTAATCACTGATGTGATTAAAATCCTGCGAATAAGATTCATCATAGTTTATATATATATATATATATATATATATATATATATATATATATATATATATATATATATATATATATATATAGTTACCTTAAATAAATAATAACGACATCCTAAAGCCTATAAACAACCGATAACTAAATTGATATCATCAGAGAAACCAAGTCATCCCAGAACGTAGCTCTTGGGTTTATTTTGAACACTTCATCATCACTTCTTTCCAATATCGAAACTAAAAGAAACCCAAAGAGTTCATGGAGTTTAAATAAAAACTGCTTCACCAAACCTGCCGTTTAAATCGTATGTTTCCCAGCAAACCAAAGGCTGAAACAAAGCAGCGGTTCTCCTCTAGGTTGTCCTCCTTTCTCACTAATCGATATCACATGCTGCAGTCTTGTGAGCAGCAGCAGTGTTTGGTGGAAATAAATTCACACATTAGTCACATCGCCCCTTTGTTTCCATTTTAGCTGCTTTGACTGATATTTTACATATAATAGACATATGAGTAAATTAAAATACCTAAATTGCTGTCAAGACCTCAGCTTTTTCTCTGTCTTCCTTATTGAGTGACTGCAGGAGTTTGTTGATTTCATACTGCAGAGCAGGAAGTACTCCACCCATAATAAGACAAGGCTCGCCCTCTCTCAGTGCTGATTGGCTTAGGAGGCTGCCTATTTGCGCTAGACTCAGTAATTGGTTACTGGGCTGTCACATTAGTAAAGATGATCCGTATCTTCTTTTTTTTTACTATTTCAAGACCAAAGCAAACTTAACGTTATGTTTTGAATCACGTTTATTAAAAATCTGCTGCAGAATATTTAAAATGCTATTTTCTTCTCATAGCTAATCTTCACCTTTCTTTTATTTTCCCATTTGACTTCGGTATTTGATCCTTTTAGTAGCCCGTGTAGAGCAGGAGTCACACGTGACCCTTGAACAGACCAGTGTAACTTCACGGCCAAGATACTTGTTTGTGCTTGTATTTGCCCTAATCGAAAACTGAGATAAAAGCAGCGAGAACAATACCACTATTCAAAAAGGCTACACTTCACTTCCCTAAAACCCATCATATGAATGAAGAACAAGGATGATTTAAGCATAAATGCACCAAACACACAGTGCATGATTAAATTATATTTTGTGTCAATAGCTTAATGATTCTAATGTTTTCTTCTATCTGCTAAATTATTTGGTTGTTAAATTTTCATTGGAACTACTTTGCCCTGTGAATGACAGAAGGCTGCTCACAGCCTGGTCCTGCTTGACGTTTCTTCCAGCTACAGGGAAGTTTTCCTCTCCAGTGTTGCTGCATGCATGCTTGATGAGAGGGATTGCTGCAAAAGCAATGACACAATGCATGCATCTGTCCACTCTCTGCTTACATGCTCATCCAGAAGGGGCAAATTCTGCAGGTCAGTGACTCAATGCAATTTCATGGTTTTCTCAGATTAAAAAAAAAATGTCCCCAATCTGCTTGTATGATTTGATCAAACTGAGTCCTTAAAGTGCATTCAGATGACATGCGTTGTAAATAATGGGGGAGTGTTGGCCTAGTGGTTAGAGCACTGCGCTTGTTGTCTGATCAATGTTCAATTATTTTTATTATTATTATTAATATCTATCTATTTATTTATCTAGATAGATAGATAGATAGATAGATAGATAGATAGATAGATAGATAGATAGATAGATAGATAGATAGATAGACTATACGTACTGTGTTTTATATTCTTTTAAATGTATGTAATTAACAAAAGAATCAATAACATATTAGACTGCTATCCTAAGAGGCCTGCTAATATTTATCAAATTAATGCATTTTTGGATGAACTCCAAGAACAAAGAACCCAGGCTCTCGCATAAAAGGTTTTACAATGACCTTCTCAATTAATCCCCTCTCCTCTTCCCAGAACCTCTGAATGAATCTTCATTCTCACAGTGAAAAAAATTGCATTTACTTCCAGCTAATGTTTTTTTTTTTTTTTTTTTTTATCTCAACCTACGTAATATTAGTTGGGGAACAGTGGCAAGTTGACAGGAAATTTTATAGACACTTTTGATTAGTTAAATCAGAAATATTTTTTCATGTATTATCAGGGTACTGTGAAAACGCTCATGCTGGGCTACAAAACACAGAGAGCTTTCAGAGGAAAAACAGTATTGTCTTTAATTTTTCTATTATCAGTTCTGTAAGGTTTTTCCCAAGATAAAATATATGAATTTATGACACCTAAATAGATCAGGAACCGTCTATTTCATTATTATGGCTGAACGGAAACTTTATGACAAATATAGCTTTAACTGCTGATATTAAAATAATAATAGCCATGGCTCTAATAGCATTTATTTCAGGCTGAAAGCACAGGTACTGACAGGCACCACACCAAAGCCTGCATTATAGAATAAGAGCAAATCACCCTGCCTGAAGACATAAGTCAGAAAATATTTTACTGTCTGAAATATCTATATCTACCAGCAATAGATGAACTATAATTCTTAAACTATTCCCCTAACAATGAAAGAGCGACATCCAGGAAACACTGCTTGACTCTAAACATGATTCCTCTCATTTTTCTTCATAAGTAGACAACAAACAGCTAATAGAAATGGCTAGAAAAAGGAAGAAAAAAATAATGGTAATTTTGTTAATGTAACTAACTTATAATACCACTAGGGTGCAGGAATTGCGTAAGAATGTCTGATTCAATATTTGCAAGTGTGCAAAATTAAAATGTTTTACTGGAGCTTGTAAATGACTTGTTTCGTTTAAAGATTTGATTAAGAGCCATATTTTTATACAAAGAAGTGAAATCATTTAATAAATATTGATATAAAAAAGTAAAACCATTTAAATTTAACTTACTAAGCCAAGACTGATTTGTGTCCATGTGGATTCATCCTATCACTTCAATTGCAGAATAAAAAATTGTGTATTTACAAAACATGCAGTTGTGCTTGAAAGTTTACATACCCGCCCATTAAAGAGAATTATTAATTCACACTAGTAATTCAAATAACACAAAAATTAAATCATAATAAATGAATAAATATGAACTACATTATAATTTAGTAAAATTGAGGATAATTTGAAAAAATAATCAAAAATAAAATGTCCCAGACCAATTAAAGTACATTGCTCATGAACGGTGAACTTGTCAAAAGGTTTATAAGTCTGACTGAACATTTCAGAAAACACCTGATTTCAGAGAATGCCTAAAAATGTTGCTCAATAAAATTTCAGCTTCACTTGTCTTATTTATTAATGGATACATACAGAATATTTATAGCCTTTTTTCCCTGTGATTTTTTGACGTTCACCCAAATATCAAATTTTTACTCATCTTGTCTTGGTATACTAAAAGCAATTTTTTTTTCTTGTGAAAGTCCCCCTAAACTATTTCAAGAAATATCTTTCTTAATTAGCACCACCTTAATTTGCAATAGCCCCTCCCCTTTTACATCATAAGGTAACGCTACAATCCCATTCTGCAAAGCTTATTATTATTGCCCTGTGATGTGTGCAGGCATGCACATTTAATGAGGGGTAGACTTTTATCTTTGTGCATCCGGGCAGAAACTCACTCTTGGTTTTGACATACGGGTTCTCTGCAGACTTCATCCCAGGGTCGCAAACTCACTGGATTTGCAGTTGTACCGTTTGAGGGCTCAGAACCAGCAGCTCAGCGCCTGTGATGGTGCAGGGCTGCAGCCGTCCTCTGCAGACCGCAAACAGCATCTGGGCGAAGCTTGCAAGGTAAGACATGCTTTACTAACTATAACATACATTCTAAAATAATCTCAGAATTATCAAAGCTACTGTCTATTTACTGTCAAAGTAAATTATCTGCATTAAGATACAACTTTAAAAACTTAATTGATTTTTGTTGCAGTCTATGTAGAAATGACTAAAGATGCACAATTTTTACTTTTTGATACTGTTTTCCAGCTGGCTTGAGGTGTGACCTGTTGATGCAAATTTTGATCTTTTTTTTATTAGCACATGAAAAATAAATGTATATGTTCTGTGGGTTATTTTGCGTCCTAGAGATTAAATGGGAAAAAAATTTTTTAAATCAAAGTTGGAATGTCTCCTCAATGTGTAACATATTTATGAAACAGCTTAGGAAATTAAACATGCAATTAGTCATTGTGTTCATTTAAAGGAGTGGGGGTATTTAAAAAGTTGAATTTAATGACTAGAGGGGGGAAAAATTTGATTTTTCAGTATTTCACATCCTAATCACTAATTAGAGACAATAAAAAGAAAAGAAAAATGAATGAATGAATGACTAATTACACTGTGCATAGTTTCCTTTAACCAGTGTAGTTATTTATCAGATATCAATGCTCAGTAATTAGACATAGTTGACTGTCTCCCATACATGTGATTTTTTGGATTCATTTATTTTTTTATATTTATGCTCATGGGATATGAGACTTTTGCAGAAAACTGTAGTGTTGTTATGTGGCTGTGCCTACCACTAAGAAAAATTAATGTAACAGACCATTGTTTGGAGATTTTGATCATTATTTTATTTATTGTCAATCGGGATCATAATAAATAATTAGCTGTCATTTCATAAGAATTTAGCATCCCATCATTCTCTAATAAAGGGTGAGATAGAGGTATAAAGTTAGATGCTGTGAATTTAAAAAGTACAGGAAATGTCCTTTTACTGAAGATTAAAACTGTTAATGGAATCAGTTTGTAGTTGATTGCCTTATTTGTAAACAAATAAAGCCTGTATTTAATAAAATAATAACAATAGAACTCCTGGGAAACATTAAATTAATTTGTGATCATAGCAGAGCAAGAAAAAAAAACATCTGATCCCTTTGTGGCACAAGTCCAAACCAAATGAAAATTAGTGATGTATAGTGAAAGTTGGTTGCCATGCCAGAATATAGATGTTTGCTTCTTTGTAGCTTTGCATCTACAAGTCCAGCCATGCTTGATGTGCACCTGTGTGTTAGAATATCTGTCTGAGATAAGAGACTTACACCAAGATGGGCAAAGATAGCTTCATGAAATCCTGAGTTTCATGAATTGCCTCTGGCATCGTCTGTGCGTGCAAATGCTTGTAGACATAACATTTAAAAAGTTGCATGTACTTTGTCTTTACAAAGCTCTGAGCATAAACCAGAAGACAAAATTGCATAAATATAAACATAAAAAAACATGCAATTTATATAATTTTTGTAATGCAAGGAAGAAAAAAAAATCACAAGGTGAGGAAAAAGGTGAAAAACACAGCTGAGAATAACAGTGAAAGAAACTGAGAAGACAACACCAGAGGGGTTTATTAAGTCTCAAGTTGGCTCCCTTCTTCTTTGTGCAAGTTTCTTGTATGATTACACCTAAAATATTCTTCTCTGTCACTGTGGGGGAAATGAAATGAGATATCTATAGACTTTGTGTAAAAAGAGACAACCTTTTTCTTTAACCATGGGGAGAGAAGACATTACTCAAAATTTTAATATAGTTTTAAAGGTTTTTAGGGGCAAGCTACTTGATTTTGGCAGAAATATATTCTGGTCTGATAAAACAGAAATTGGAGTGTTTTACCGTAACGATAATTGTTAAACTTGTAGAAAAAGTGTGTAATGCTTTAGGATAGCTTTGAGGCGTGCAGGTGGCAGCGTGGTCCTTTGCCGCATGTTTCCTGTCAGAAAAACAAGCCACTAGTGCTGTAAAATAAAACTCGACCCCCCCCCCCCCCCCCCCCCCCCCCCCCAAAAAAAAAAAGACAGCCTTGAAGCAGTGAAGTACTTTGGTTGTAGTATCTTAGGTGGGACTGATGCACTCATCAAAAAAGATGAAATTTTGCGGATTGATTATCATCAAAAAATAGAGCATGCAAGTCCTCCATAATGGACAAGGACTCTGAACATGAGGGGACATGATGTGCAGCAGCCTAGAAATATTAATTATTTACATAGATTTTAACCAGAGGAATGTAAACTAATGTGTTTGGCTGAAAGTTTGAACACATGGACATTTATGTTTTTAAATAAATGTCCGAAAATGTCTGAAATATCTGATCCCTTTAACAAACACAATCCATTAAAACAATGGAAAGAAAACACATTTGTCTATAAATGGTTTTATGTGTAATAATGAAGGGATGACACAGGAAATAAGAACTGAAAACATGAAATAAGACTGTATGAAGCCAATTCCAAACCAATTTGAATCTTTTGGTCATTGGAAAGTTATCCCGCCCTTTTTCAGCATAAATTTAAACCAGCTGTTTAGTCGTAATTAATGGAATATGCAAGAGGTTTCTCATTAGCAAGGTGCTTTGCAACAATCATATCATACAAATTATTTACTCCACCGTTCACCACAATTTTCTATTCTATCAGAGACACATAGGGATGCCATTGGGGAGTCAATCAACCAAAATAAATGAGATTGAATACAGTCTTAAGTTAAACTGACCTGGCAAATGCCAAAAACCAGCTTCTCCATATGGTATGCCAGAAATGCCAAGAAATCACACTTGGAAAAAATGTTAGAATATTCTCTAAATGATAGACCACGTTTCATGGGCTTTAGAAATGTAAATTGAGCACATACAGTAGTTGTTGTTTTTTCCCCCAGAAGCACAGGCAGGGATTCTTTTCTAAGCCTTCATGTCAACTCTTCACACAAGAAAAAAAAAAATCATGTTTTGCGACAGAACATTTGGACAAGCCAGAACAATACTGAAATTTTGTGGTTTGGTAAGAGGGGATAAAAATGTAACTCAATGAATGTCATTGCAGATACAGTGCTCAGAGGAGGAATGGTACTGCATGTAAATTTAGATCAAATCATGCAGTGGAGCTTTGTTTCAGAATAAGATACTCTGCTTTACATGATTGAAAAAAGATAAATGACAAGCATGTTGAGACATTTTTGATAATCTGTAGATAAATAGAGAGGATTTAGCAACAAAACAACGGTCCCAAACATGTAGCCAAGGATACTCAGCTATTTTGAATGAAATCCAATAAAGTGGTTGAAATACACCATGTGAAAGAGATTATTGTTTTTATTTTCGGTGGCGAAGGCCTGAAATGGTAATAGTGACATGATGAAGGATATATATTTAATGGAACTAAGACACAGAGAAAACGAGGGTGACAATATCTCGATTTCAAGCGGTACCCAGGTAGAATCTTTGCTGAATCAAAAAGGGCATATGTTATTTAAAAAAAAAAAGTTCCCAAATCTGTGGGTAAGTCATGATGACTTTGATCTGGCAATCCTTGAATATGGACACAGTTGAAAGGACTCATAAAATGTTTTAGATTGATTCCTTCTCTCATTCCACATCATTCCAGATCACATTTGGCTTGATTTTTATTTATCTCATTGCATCGATTACGGGGGTTATTGCATCTGGTTTAATTATGTCATTAGGCTCATTAGAAATATATTTGATGAGAAAAATGTTGACCTACTCAATCTGTACCTTCACCATTTAAAAACAGGTATACATTTTCATTTATAAAACCCACAGGCAAGCAAGTTCTTAGTAGCTGTAGATGTGGTCCTCTGACAAGCATCTAAATACAGGAAAGGATGGGATTAACAGTCAGTGGTTACAGATAAAAACCAATCAGATAACTACAAATATAACTCAAAGATGTCTTGTTTTAAAAAACAGCTTTTACAGCAGCCAGTTTGAAATTGTAAAGATATATCTAGCTCATTAGGGACATGACTAAAATATCACTCTATTGTGGCTGCAGTTTTGATTGTATGGTTACAGAAAAGCACTGTTGCATTATGGGAAACTTTGCTGCAAATGTAAACTCACCACTCCTGTGCAGGAATTGGTCTTGTCTTATTTAGACCGGAGAGTCATAAGCCTGGTTTATGCCTGACAAAATGCTTAATATTTGGGTTGTAAAGGACAAATTAAAAGCATTCTTACTTCTAATCTAAAGTCAAACTTCTTGCTAGTTTGTAACATTAATCCAGTTGCATTTTGAGTGAAAAAAAATTGGGTTTAGAAAACTTATGCTTTTGTTCAAGCTTCTGTTTTTTGGTAGTGTCATTTGCCCCCTTTAGTACAAACTCCTCACAACACCCTGCTGAGTAAGAGGAGCTGGCGCGTTCTGGATGGTGGTGATGCTGATGTTATTTTTGCAGCCTAATTTAATCTTCTAGGTTCTTTGTCACTCTAATGTGATTGGTAAAATGGATGCCCTTGGACTATAGAGGGCAGCCAATGCTGGCATAAGTGAGTGGTTAAGTAAAAGGAAAAATTACCCTCTGATGCTTCTTTAGGTGCTCTGCTCTCCAAGTTTGTTCTCTGCCATAGTTACTTTGGTATGTAGCAAGTATTTGTCAAACAGCCAGGCCTGTTTGGATCATAAAACGAGTTAGTCTATTTATATTCTAGGATAAAGTGGATGCTGTGACTGTGCTCCAGAGACATGTGGTCATGGGAAACAGCCGAGGTCAAAAAACAGGAAGAAGAGAGAAAGAGGAACTCTTGAGGGACGGATTAAGGGATCGGTTTATACTTTAATAGTGAGCATATTATTACAAAATTCCCTTGTTTTAATTTAACCCCAGCAGTCAAACACCATAAGTCAGTTTGTATGTAATTTTGCTCTCCTTTCCCTTAGTGCTCAGATTGTATCCACGAATTTGGTGACCTCCTTTGTTATCTTCCAGGATTTTCCTAACAGCCATGTGTAACCCCTTAAGGTTTTATGAGATAAACCACTGATAGTTGGGTAGGAGCTTCAGTGTGGCAAAATGAAACACATCTGTTCGGTAGTCTTTGCTACTCAGTCATAACTTCCATCATCTGGCTAAAAGATGCACTGAAACGTCTTGATGTCAGTAGTAAAAGACAAACAAGGAGACAGAGTGGTTTCACTGGCATCCGGGTGCTGCACTTACCTCTCACTTAATTCCAGTCATTAAATCTCTTAGACTCGATGGCTCAGCTTTGATCACAAAGGCACAGTTTCACTTAAATTTGCTCCCTGTACCTAATGTCTTTTTTAAAGAAGTGAAAGTAATAACGCCAATAGGCACAGCTGTGGCAACCGAGAGAAATTTACAAAAGTGTACACAAAGTTTTTTCCAGCTAGTTAAAATGTGCTTATGCTATTACTTGTTATACTATAAAGCAGATTTTTGCAGAAGGTCTTTTTTGTTGAAGTCAATGAAAGGCATCTACCTTAAGCCAGATGTAACTTTAGATATTGTAAGTAAATAAAAAAAAGGCAATAAAAAAAAAATGTAAATACTTGATGACTCACTGAAGGTTTTTTAAAGAATAAATTAAATTTGGAAATGTCTTAAAGGTCAGACTTTTCTATTTAAATTTTGACTAATTCAGGTCTCCCCTTTTAAAACAATTGGATATGCAATCACAAAACAGGACCAAATCTGAGGCAACCAGACTTGCGCTCAGTTTCTCTAAAGAAGCTCTGACATCTGTTCAAAAATCTTTGTCAATGCCCTAAGAGCCCATAAAATGGATTTTTGTGATATTTTTTTAACCCCAAAACTCAGTATGCTGAGAAAATGCTGTTTTACAAGGTGTTTAAAGGATTTTAAAATGTAGATTTTAGTGTAAATACCCCAAAAAAGTTTAAAAAAAAACAAAACACTGCACTTTGTTTTCCAAGTTTGAAGACTTGGAATCCATCCAGAAAGCTTTCTCAATTCAAGATGTCTACTCCAGACATTTTTAATTGAGAAAGCTTTCTAGATGGGAAGCGAAACGTCTTCAAACTTGGAAAACAAAGTCCAGCGGTTTGTTTTTAAGGTTTTTTTTTTTTTTTTGTAATGACTATGGCTTGGATGACTGAGAATCTTCACCAGCATTTCAGTTTTAATGCACTTCATGGATATTTGTGTGTGTTCTCCCTGCAAATTAATAGTCAAAGACAGTTAGGCTAAGACTGGGCAATGTTAATTATTTAATTGTTTTGTTGGTATACTGGGGATTTCTCTCAAAAAAAGTTGTATAAAATTGATAATCCAAAAATTTGAACTGTGGTTCTTAAAAAGCATTAAACATCCTTACGTTGAATGTAACTATATAGGTTTCTTTATACTTCTTTAAGCTTTAAATCTATTTTTTATCATAAAATGTTGTGGTTACCAACCTTATAAGTTTTTTACAACAAAGACAAAATGTATTATTCAGCATTAAATTGGATTTAATCTAAAATGCATTTTTTCTGCATTGAGGCAAACATGTTATGTGTATGAGATTAATAGTTCACAGCAATTTCCAACATTATATGCAATTGGCTCTACATCAAACTGATTTGCAGTACAGTTCAGGATGTTATTAGATGATGCATTAGCTGGAACGAAAAATGTTAGGGAATCCTCATGCACTCTCGCAACATCAGCATAAAGTGCATCTTGGATACTATAAAGAAATTGCAAATGGTGCTAAAAGCTTTGTACAAGAGTGTGTGCAGAATTGTTAATAAAAATATGCCCTTATGAGGTACAAATAGTCCAATGCAAGCAGTACAATATGATGAATTTGTGGATAATTACTTTTGTCCCAATATATCTTGATAGTGATGATGGTGATATAATGATGATGATGATGATGATGATGATGATGATGATGATGATGATGATGATGATGATGATGATGATATAGATTCTAAGAGGAAAACAAAGCACCCAATTTTTTGTCTTTTCCTGCCCGACACATAACTTTAGAGATTTAGAGAAGCTGATATTACAGAACATATCAGGATGAATGAGGCAGAGGTATGACTGAATGAAATGGTGTCCAATCTTCCATTAGGTTAAACTAGATACAGTGGTAGACCCTGACAGATGTCCATCTTCTCTATGAGCTCTCCTCCTCTAACAAACACATTCATAGAATAGACCAAAAAGGCAAATGGTTCCAGATGATGGATGGATGTGAAAGAATCCTAGAGAGCTGTGGGTCTGATAACCTTTATTGACATCACACATTTTCCTGTGACATCTTGAAATGAGCTTGGATGGGGTGAGGGGTTTACCACACGTCCTCGGCATCAGCAGTAACGCTTTCTTTGTTCTGTTTTTACTGATGTCATGTTCCCACACACACTGAGTAGCAATGCACGTAAAACAAGAGGACTTTAAAACCTTCAGCATCCATGTGTGCCCTGCCACCCATGTCACGCAGCACATGCAGGTCACACTCATCTCTACTGCATACAGACAGATAAAGTAACCATAAAATAAAGTTTGAGTTACTTTGTTGTATGCATCCTTCACTATTGTTTAATTATTTCTATTTTATCTTATATAGAATGAAACCATGAGCATAAGGAAACACAAATGTTGAGTTACTGAAACCGATCATTAACTGCATTAGTTACAGTTTACAGTAGCTGCCTTATTATCATGAGAACATTTTGTGAAAAAAATACCTTTAAACTTTTTTATGGAGAATAATCTAAAAGAAAGAATGTTTGTGTAGAAGAGAATAAATATGAAACACGCTTTCAAAGTGCGTAATCCCCTATGCTTCTAAGGCCTGAGCAGAATAAACTGGAATAGACTGGATTTTATACATCAACTGCTTGCCAATTTGTCTTCAGAGAAATGTTTTATCACAATGCATACATCAATATCTGAACAAGAAGCAGGACGATTTTAATCTCTAGATTGTTTTTATTGCCTTATAAAGTAACTGATGTAAAGCTCTTGTTAAACTTTGTTTTGCAGTAACATCAATATTTACAGTTTTATCATATTATGCTTGTTACTTTTTGTTTCCCTTGTTATTTTTTGTAAAACATTATTTGGTTAGCAATATTAGCACAGATTACAACAACATATTAAAGCACTCTTTGTTTTACCTCACACCTCAGGAACAGTGTTTAATTCTTGGTGTTGTTCTTATTGTTAAGACCGAGCCGCCATCACAGGGAGTGTTTGGAACTCTAACATTTATTCTAAAGACTAAAACGTTGAGTGTTAAATACTTGAATTAGTTTTCTGTGCAATGTTTCAGCTGAAACATGCTAAAAAAGCTGAAGTTTTAAATGTTTAATATATATTCCTTTGCATGTATTTTCCCCAGCTGAGACAAAAATTTGGGCCAATTTAGTCTTGTTGACCTAGATATTAAAAACCTGTTGCCCATTCAGTCCTTTTTAAACCCTAGCCTTGCCATTGCATCATGGTTTTGCCCTTATGCATTGACATTTGCTTGTGATCCATTTAAAGCTGTTGATGGTACTGTAATTTACCAGATTAAAACAATTCGTGTCATATTATGAAAAATTGCTCAACTCAATTATTCAAGGTTTCATTAAGCAATTGAAAACTAAAATCAAACACTGCAAAATATGTAAATCTAAATAAACCATTTTTCTTAAAATAGGTGGAGTTTGTCTTGAATTGAGGAGGTAAGTGAGACACTTTGCCAATGGGTTAGTGTTAAACCCTAATGGGTTAGGGTTTTTGAGAGTAAAAATGCTCATATCATTGGCAAATAATCTTATTTTCCTACTCAAATCAAGGGTAAATACACTTAAATTAAGATTTTTTTTTTTACTTATTTCTAGACTTTTTGCAGTGAAGCAGGAATTAATTGACATTTTCTGTTCAAGCTGTTCCTGGTGCAGATTTTCCTTTTTTTTCCTCCTGAGAAAATGTAGTGAATGTAAAGTATTCATGTCAGGGTGTGTTGTCCAAAAAGCCTTAAAGTAAACTAATGAATTCCATTGCATTTAGCTGTGAAAGGCCACTTGGCAAGAGTGATGAGAGGGAGGGATAAGTTGTTTTAATGTCTGTATCTAAGATTAAGTGAAGCAACTGCCTTAAACATCTACTCAAGCATTTTGAGAAAGTAAAGAAAAATGTTTTTCCTCTAATTGTTTTACTCTGTGTTTGTTTTTATTTAATTTTAAAACCTTAACTGAAATTATCAGTGAAACCGTAAAATTAAATGATTTTATCCTTTATGTGTTTCAGGGTCCATTCAAGGGAGACGTTTTTAGCTGTAAAGCTTTCTTGCATCTGTTTGCATTCCTGTGTGGTTAAATGCATCACCATGAAGCACCAATCTATATCCCGCTGGCTGAGCCAACTTGGACTGCCTCAGTACTGCGTGGTGTTGGAGCAGGAATATGATGGTGTAGAGGTAATACAAGCATTTCACATTATTTAATGAATGTAGATTCAATGCAACTAGATTATATCTAGGTCCAAGGACCAAGGTTTATGAACTTGATTTGATTCTGGGCCAGTTGCGATATCCCTTATCGTATTTTGCATACACTACTGATCTGTCCTTTGGGGAACAGCAGTATAGATTAATGCTCCTTTAGGAAAAAGGCATAAGAACTCCAATTTATAGTGTGCTGAAAGCCATATAAAGGGAACAGTAGATGGAGGAAAGTGTGGTGGTCTTTTAGACAAAATTGTGGTGAAAAACTAAAAATGTAAACCACTGTTTGAACGTCATCAAACCCAGTAGTGGCAGCATCATGCTGTTAGGACCTTTTTTCAGCAGTGACAGAGAAAATGGTTTACAGTGGATGGGAAGATAAACAGAACTAAACACAAACCCCCTTCAGAGCAACAGTGGCCTTATTTGCTATCAGAGCAACAGAGCAATGGTTTAGCTTAATATACACTGTTAGAAGAGCATAGTTCAAGTTTAGCCCAAACCCAGAATAATAATGTGTGGGAAGACTTGAGATGCTGTTCAGAGAAGCTCTACATTCAACGTCGCTGTGCTTAAGCTATTTTCCAAATATCAATTGATAGATTGTCTTAAGATGATCAAACCTTTGATCTATAACATAGATAAAGAGGTATTTTCATATAGATTAAATATTATATCAGTAGTTGTAGCTGCAATATAATGCAAAGTGAAGTTCAGGAGGTGTGAATACTTTTACGAAGGGGCTTTAAATTCTGTGTTTTATGTCCTAAGTAAAATGAATCTTTCCTTTAAGGGAAGTTTATTCATTTGACTCTCAAACCTTTTGAAACTCACCTCTGTCTGTTTTTTATTCTCCATTTTCTTCAGATGTAATTAAAAGCCAAAGTCAGCAGTCTAAAGAATAGTCTTGAATGAAAGTATTTTGGAAAAACAAGGCACTTACTTGTTGCTCTGAGTTTAATGACTTTAAGCACCTAATGCTAAAGTTTAACTGAGAATTAAAAAAAATCTCACTCTCCAGGGTTGCAGTAACGGTTGTGTTGGAAATCCTCTCTAGTCTAAGAATGCCCGTGTGAAGAGTGAAGGTTTTTAAGAGTGTTTCCCACAGCAGTTTAATAAAGCAGCCTAATAAAACTTGATCGGGGGCCTATTACACTGAATGGCCCTATTGGTGTGGAGGCTATTTGTACATGTAGACATTTACCAGCTTCATTCTGAATCTTGCACTGCTATTGGCTGAGAGATGAGATTGATGAGGCTGTGTAAAACATTAGTTATTCCATTACCTGCTGCTAACGTTTTTCTTAAGCGCAGTGCATTAGAGAATGGAAAACTAGTAGTGTGAAGAATGGAAAATAATGTAAAAAATGAAGACAAGAAAACATGTTCTATTCTCGAGCAACCATAGCAGACCTCAGGAAGATGCTGAATATCTTTAAGTTTGGAAAATTCAATTCAATTCAAGTTATCTATATAGCGCCAGTTCACAACATATGTAATCTCAAGGTACTTTATAGTGACAATTCAACCAGATCATACAGTTGGATTGGTTCAAAGTTTTCTTTCTAAGGAAAGCCTGTTGATGGCATCAACTCATTTACTTTTCAACAATCCCTCACACCAAGCATGCATGTAGAAACAGTGGAGAGGAAAACTCTTGTTTAACTGGAAGTAACCTCCAGCAGAACCAGGTTCAGTGTTATTGGCCATCCTTCAAGGCTGACTGGGGTTCAAGGAGATGGAAGCAGACATACAGAAAGAAGCCGAGATAACAAAGGTAACTTAACCAGCTCCACAGGCGGCCCCATCCAGGAAACACACATAGCCATACAGACGAACTCCGAGCCCAGTTCCCATGTCAGAGGCAAAAAAGAGCACTATAGTTAGTCATATTAAGAGAAACAGGACTACACTGAAAAACAGGCCAAGCTTTAACATCCATGAACAAAGGTGTTGATGGCAGCAGCACAGCTGATATTTCTCTCCAGGATGGTGTCACAGAACAGATCAGCTGAAGCTACTATGATCAGAAAAAGCAGAGAGAGCATAATGTTAGAGGTTGAACTAACAAATACTGCAGAATGGGAATAGAAATTGAATGAAGCAGAATGATGAAAAATGACCTCTATATACTCCAGCAATCTAAGCCTATAGCAGAATAACTATAGAGATAGCTCAGGATAACCTGAGCACTCTAACTGGCTAGCCTAGCCTTTAAAGAAGACAAAGTATCTGCCTTACGAACTAAAAGTGGTAGTTGGTTCCACAGGAGAGGAGCCTGATAACTAACAGATCTGCCTCCCATTCTATTTTTAAAAATTCTAGGAACCACCAGTAAGCCTGCAGATTGAGAGCAAAGTGCTTTGTAAGGAACATGAGGAACAATCACATCTCTGCTATAAGACTTAGCTTGGTCATTTAAGGCTTTTTGTTAATAAATGTTGAATTTTGCTGTATTTGTTTAATAATTATTGCTTAAAATCAAGTCTAAATTAAATAAAGTATTACAGGAGCTATTACAGTTGTCTATTTATCATAGCCTTTAAAACAAAATTTAACTTTAATCTCCTTTTTTTTACAATTTCTATGTTATAATTAGCTTAGAGTAGCATTGTGTAACTCCTTCTGTATGTTGTAACAACAATATTGAGTTCAGTGGCTCAAAGATAATCAGGCTTATTATGAAAACAACCATTTTCCCCTAAATCGACTAGATATCATACAACCACCAAATTCCAACATGTACATATTGCAAAAGACTCTTAATGCTTTTATTCATAGTGTGTTATGTTTTTAGCACTCATTTCGATGTTTTGTTAATGCATCACAAAAACAGAAACAACAGCTGCTTTTATTTTAAATTCATATGAAAGCAGGGCATTTTCTTCTTTTATTTTTCCAAAAATTACTGCATGGATTTTATTTTTTATTTTTTTATATATATATATATATATATATATATATATATATATATATATATATATATATATATATATATATATATATATATATATATACTGGTATTCACATAAGTCTCATTTTCAAAAGAGACTTATTTATATAAAACAAAACAAGCAATAAAAAAGGAACAAACAAAAAAATACAAAGCAGTACAATTCCAACAATTAGATAAGCTAATGAGATATGGCTTAAAAACAAGAGCTGGTTGCATCAGAAAGTGTAGTTTTTTCTCAAACATGTGAAATTTATGTGAATATATTTGTCACACAAGCACTCTGATAATTTTATTGGATTTTGGAATTTTATGGAATTTTATGGATGTAATACAATGACAATTGATTTAGATTTTATATATAAAAACAAGTTTGAACAACACAATGTTCATTTATAATAGATTCAGCTAAAATCTGCTTGATTAAGTGGGTATTGTCCAGAGGCATTCCTGCATCACTGCCCTGTCATTTGAATCTCCTAATTCATTCATTCAGTTTTTTTTTATCAACCCAAACATTTACCCAAGCAAAACCAACATCCTTGGACTCCTGTATCAACTCTCTAAAGTAGTAGCATGAGAGTTTATTTTGTTGTTCAGCTCAGTGTGATCTGGAAGAGAATAACAAAAGTCAACATGTCAACTTGCTGTTCTGTTCAACAGGAGATGAGAAAGATCACAGGAGGGAAAGATGGAGGGACAGATATGCCTGCTATCTGCTTTTGTAGAGACTGCTTTTTAGCCAACATGTTATTACTAACCTGTCTGGGCATGTTAACTGCAGTGATCAGCTGGAAAGCTGTATTTTTTGTTTTTCTATTCAACCATATATTGTACTTCTGCAGTTTTTGTCCATATTTGTCACATAAAATTTCTCCTATTGTACAGATTTATTGTTTTTAGTTTTTTTTCTTTGGTTTTGTGGCAGCCTTGGGTGGAAGTTATGTACCCTTGGTTGTTTCCTCATAACTTTTGAAATACTGCGTTAATTATTTACTCCTCTGCATAATTTTCTTAATTGATAATGTTGATGGGTTTGCCAGCTGTCTGCTTCCTTTATGTGTGTGTCGGAGAAATAAATCAGTTCTTATCATAATAAAAAAAAAGTATTTTTTTTGGAGAATCTTCAAGCAGAAGATTTTATTTCGAGTGGGGTTAACTACCTGTGAAAGCAGGCGCTATGTCACTTAACAACTGGTGTCTGGTAGAGGTGTTCAGAAAAGAGGTCTCTGTCTGCTTCAGACTTTAATTGAGTCAATGGTAATGAGCGCTGAAGGTGTGTTTGTTCATGTGCTTAGAGATTGTAATGACAGGAAGGCACACTTTTGGGGTGGTCACTAGGGTTTTTCTTCAACTGTTCTGGAGCCACAAAGCTGCCTGGACTGATTGTTTTTCAACATCCTCAATGAAAAAGATTGTTGTCCTGTGTTTTTTACTAATTTGATTGAGGACTAATGCTTTTTTTATTAGCTGAACAAATGCAACAATTCTTGTTTTACTGTCTACTGACTACCTGGAAAATGCCTAAATGTATATATTTGATGCAGCTTGTTTGTATGGTGGGCTGTTAAGCATGCAGAGGTGTTTAACTGTAGCAATGCTTTTGGGAAAATAAGAAACTTTGCATCATTTAACATGCAGTGTGTTGATTGATATTTAGTTTTTTTTTTCTTCCACTTATGAGATCTAAAGTAGGATGTTAAATGTAACTTCTTTTGTCTCAGTAGACAAGAGTAACAGGGGGCAACAGGGCTGATTGGGTTGTCATCCTGCAAGATTAGAAGGTTCCCAGTCACATGTTGATGTGTTCTTGCCAAGGTGTTTAACACCTTAAAGCTGGTTTATACTCAGAAACCAGGTCGTCTGCGTGTGTGTTGCAGTGAACGCAAATATGACCCCGCCACTTCCGCTGAGTCTCTGGTGCACCTCTCCAAAATTGTAGATGACCGCAGACAGGAGGCCTCTGATTGGTCAAATCTACATCCGCTCTACACTATGCGCGTTTCCCGTTTGGTACCCTACCTTATTTGGTTTGTATGACCACCGTTGTGGAAAACAAATCGTGAATGTGGACCAGCTAGAAAAGAGAGGTACGCAAGAATGCTGGGACCTTGTTTTCCACCTGGATTCCCGCTCTTTTTCGCCCTCATGTCCCTCCATTGTCACACAAACTTGCCCCCACTTCATCACCGTCTCAGCCGTATCTAGACCCACAGCTAGTTGGTGATTGTCCCTCTTGCGTTGTGGTGTGGAGTAACATAAAATCAAACATGCTTGATTTTCTCCCGACCTCATGATTCCTGATCGGGAGGTGGTCGTGAGAGGCTGATCACCGCTTGTAACCCTCAGTACACTATACGACTCACGACGCACGATCAGGCTGAAAGTCGGGCTGATCAAAAGATTCTTGCATGACTGGAAAATCGCCCCGAAAATCGCACAGTGTACGCCGGGCTTTAAAGTGACTAAACCCAGCAGGACTGCAGGCCTCAGCACTCCTCCATCTTCTGACCCACAGCTCTCTGATATTCAACGCCTGGCCCACAGACCAAGATCATGGCTTTGGGATGGGGGTTTGTTTTGCTCTAACTACTGCTGATGTGTTTGGAACCATTAACTGTTATGAAAACCCTTCTGCACCTGAGCTTTACGTGCATGGCCGATGGGATGAGATTGTGAGATGTTATGTTCCACATAATTTGAAGAGCCCCAGCCAACCCTGACAGCATCTTGATCTTGTCAGTCATGAACTTCACAGATGTAATGGTGCTTTTACCCTTGAAAGTTTTCCCTTCCTCTGCAAATGGTATCATGTCCATTATGAAAAAAGGCCCTGTCCCAAAAATTAAGATTATTGTATTTAAAAGCATTTGCAAACTCTGATCTAAAGTCTTTCTTTTGAAGTTGTAGCTTCTTCCTTTCTAAGTATTTCCAACACACATCAGTGCTGAGCTGATTTACCAGCTTCAGCATCTTTACAACATATTTATGTTCTGTGGTGAAAAATAATTATTTGAAAAGCTAACTGGGTTTTTTTTTTTTTTTTTTTTTTTTTTTTTTTTTTTTTAGGCATGCAGGAATTTTACCTACTGGTGACCTAAACTTGTGGAGCTCCACATTTCCCTTCATAACATCTTGCCTAAATATTTCTTGATTAGTTTTCCAACCTATTATACGAAGGATAGGTGTGTTGTAGGGCTGAAACAATTGATCTGATTAATCATGATTATTGAAATAACCGCAGTAATCGATTAATCGTTAACTGGAGTATAGAGACTCTAAAACGTGCCTTAAGCTGACAGAGCAGTAATTATACAAAATTGTAAAAAAAAAATATATATATATATATATATATATATATGTCAACATTTTGCATTTAAGATTTTCTTTAAATCCATTTCATCTGTTAACATGCTCTACCCAGCCTCCGCAAGTGGAAAAGTTTTAGTTTCATCTGGTTTGATTTCGTAAAAAGTCTTCTTTAAAGAACCTTTGGCAATCTGATTACTAATTGAAAAAATAATCGACAGATTAATCAATTTGCAGAATAATCTTTAGTTGCAGCCCTAGTATGTTGCATCAATGTATGCAAAGTTTTGAATTTTAAACTAAACATCAGAAATGATCATTAAAGTTCCCCATTACCTTTGGCATTTAGCAATCAGAAATCACATTTGTAACCCTAAACGGACCTTAGACAAGAATAGTTACTATTAATAATCCATGCTGGGTTGTGATGAAACACTTAAATTTGATTCCATTCTAGTAAAATAAAGTTTTTATTTTTAATACCATGTATATAAATCTTTCAGTTGTATGTTTAAGGTAATCTTGCTTTGTGATGCTTTCCAGGATCTGCTCCATCTCTCAGAATATGACCTCCTGGAGCTTGGCGTCCACAATCATCTCCATCGGCTGCACCTCCTGACTTCCCTGCATCTCCTTCAAGAGCGAGAGAAGAGGAGAGGTACTCGGTTTGTTTTATACAAAAAAACTTAGCAGACAAACTAGAAAGATCTGTTATCCCAACCAGTTTTGAGTCCCTTTCTGCTTAAAAAGTGGCTAATCAGATGGAGAGAGATAGCATGACTCTCATGTGGGGACATGCTTATGCCTTGGGGTTCTGCTGAAGGAGAGAGTGTTTTCTGGCTGAGGACATTACTGTCTCACACATACAAAGTCTCACACACCTATAAAAGTGATTAAACCCAGCAGGACTTTGGGCCTCAGCACTCCTCTGTCTTCTGACCCACAGCTTTAGGTGACACACAGAGACAAGCAGCTTTGTTTGCACCGTTTTCACTGAATAACACTCCAAAGTCTCTATGTCATCCAAGTGACTGAGTCATGCATGAAACAACATTATAACAGTTAATCTTTTTTGTCAACAACGCTGTTAGCAAACAAGATGAAAGGCTGACATCATCTAGAATAGAGAATCAAATGAGCAATTCACAATCAAAACAAATCATAGTGTTGATTGCATTGCCTCAAAAACCATCCCGTCTCTCTTGGTTGCGCTGAACATTTTTTAGAGGGCATCTTTCTCTAAGCAGTTGTAGAAACCAAGGATGACAAAAAGTTTCACATCTGATTTTCAACCCTGTAATTTTCCGGTCTGACTGGACTGACATGACTTATATAAAACTACACACCACGTTGAAATAGATCTGAATTCTTTATATTTAAATGTGTTTGACAGACCATGAGTTTAACTGAATTACTTTTGTCACTATTTCTGTCTTGGAAGTTTTCACAGAAGTTAAAATAGGATAGAAGAAGTCACTAAGGTTGGCTACTTCAGATGCAAGTGCTCAAAGAAAGAAGGTGGGAGGTGAAGGGAATGTACTTTGAGCTTCACAGGAGGTCTTTCAGTAGCAACACTAAGCAATATTTCAGGGTTCTTTTGATCCAGTTCTAATAAGCTTATTAAGAAGGAAACTTTCCAGTCTTGTCTTAAAAAAGAAATCCTGTCAGCCTCTTAAGTCTAAAGAAAATTTTGTAAAGTTAATTTAATTTGTACTTTTATTAATAAAAACTATTTCTTCTTCATTAACTTGAGGTTGTAAACAGAGGTCTATATTTTACGGTTTAAATGTAGTTTCAGCCAATATAATCTTTTCCATTCTTTGTGTCTACATCTGCCAGGTACTTTCCTTGTTGGCAGAGATAAATTGCAGCAGTCCAATTAGAGATACCTCAGTAAGAACAATTACAGGTTATAATAGCAGAACTGGCTCCTACATGTTCATACTTCACACATATTCAAGCCCTTTTGGTTTTAGGTTTTGTGTACTTTCTGCTGTTGATGGTGAAACCAATCTCTGCATATTTATCATGACTGGTTTTTGTCATTTCCAAGTAACAACAAAGAATGGTTGGATTCTTCAGTTCAAGTGAAACTGAGAAGTCATTATATATATATATAAAAAAAAGCATAATGATCTGCACATTTTCTGTTGGCTTTGCTATGACCAGAACTGTCAAAAGCACATTCTTTACTTGAGTAAAAGTACAAAATAAGTTAAGTTAATAAGTTGAAAAGCACAGGTTTTAGACCAGTGTTGCATGATAATTATATAGATGTAATATTTTTTGTTTACAATAAAACAAAATAAGATGTTTTAGAACTTTATATTTTTGTAAATTCACAGCCTATGAAAAAAAACAGCTTGCTTTTCAAGCAAATTAGCAAAAATAAAATATACATTGAAATACAATTAAATAGGGTTACACTATTCAAGAAAAAAATCCAAATTCTATAAACAAAGGTGTTGATGGCAGCAGCACAGCTGATATTCTCTCAAGGATGTTGTCACAGCCAAAAAGCAGAGAAAGGCATAAGGTTAGAGAGTGAACTAACAAATACAGCAGAATGGGAGAATTGAGATAAAATGAAGAGGAATAATGAAAATGGTCCCTATGCCATGCAAGTTAATTTTTTTTTTCAGCCCAACCAATGTTACACACCCTATTCAGAGACCTTTAGGACCAACACCAAATACCCTATATAATCATTCTATGATGGCCCACAGCTGAGATTCAATACACCCCTCTGCAATTGGCTGTTAGACTTCCTCACAAATGGACCACAGTCAGTCCGGGTCGGACAGAACTCCTCTGATGTCCTCACCCTAAGCACAGGCTCCCATCAGGGCTGCGTCCTACTGTAAGCCCCCTGCTGTTCACCCTGATGACACATGATGCGTTCCCAGATTCACCACCAATCACATCATGAAGTATACAGACGACATGAAGGTAGTGGGCCTCATCAGAGACAACGAACAGAACTACAGAGAGGAGGTGGAGAAGCTGGTGGGCTGGTGCAGAGACAACAGCCTGATCCTGAATATGGAGAAGACAAAGGAGATCATCTTGGACTTCAGGAAGAACCAGCGTTACCACGCTCCACTGCTCATCAACAGCTCATTGTTAGAGCTGGTCAGCAGCATCAAATTCCTGGGGGTGCACATCACAGACAACCTCACCTGGACTGTAAAAAATCACCTCACTGGTCAAAAGGGCTCAAAAGTGCATGTACTTTTTACGGAGGATGAGGAGAGCCCACCTGCCCCCACCCATCCTCACAGCCTTCTACAGAAGCACCATAAAGAGCGTTCTGACCAGCTGTGTGGTGTGGAAGCTGCAGCGCCTCAGACTGGAAGAAGGTGAGAACAGCAGAGAAGATCATCGGAGCTCCTTTTCCCTCCATAAAAGATGTTTCATCCCAGCTCTTCGTGTTCCACAATATCAGAGGCTTTGCAGCATTTGATGCAGGTCCAGCAGTTTCCAAAACAGCTTCTTCCCCACCTCAAACCGACAGCTGAACTGTTGAGAAAACTCTAAATCATGTCACAGACTCTGCGTCACACTGACAAAACCAAACCAAATTACTGCATAATCGCACCATATATATTTAATGCTCTTAACTTTCATTTCAATGCATTTTTTTGCACCAGGTTTTTTTTCCCCACACTGTTTGCATTTGATCACTGCTGTACATTAAGAAATGGAAATGTCATGAAAGCTTTACAAAACGAAATTTCATTTTGTATACACTCTGTTTACACACTTACCACCTCTGGTGATAATACAATCATTTCTAAAGGTTTAATGTTTGCAAGGTTGGTGGATGTAGTTGTGGACCCAAATGCAGAGTAGAAGAAGCAGGGATTATTTCTTGCAAAATTTAAGGAAGAGGTAAAAATACGGAATCTATAGTCCAGAACCGTTTAACAAGAAACTCAAGAACCAAAAAAACTAGGAGGCATTAGGGAGGAATATACCTAAAGGATGGCAATGATCCAGCAATCAGTAACTGAACAGGTGTGTAGACAAAACAATGGGCTGACTAATTAGCTGATAGGGAACAGGTGTAGACAGAAGTAACTAGAAGGAGCTAATGGGAAAGGAAAAGACACAAGAGGGCAGCAAAACTAAGAATTCAAAAAATTATATCAATCTAAAGTAGGCATCCCCAAACTCTGTCCTCAAGGCCCCCTGTTCTGCAGGTTTTAGAGGTTTCTCTGCTTCAAACATATAAGAAAAAACTACTTTTTGACTGATAAAAGCTTGTTTTATTTTTTCAATTGGGTCCTCACAAAAAAACAACAACACAGATCTGGAAAATAAAATATTTTAATGTACCCCTTGCAATACACTCACGGACCACTAGCGTTATAAGTACCTCTGGTTTTGAATCACTGCTCTATAGCTTGGTATCCTGCAGAAGGATTGTTTGTTTGCATCTGTGCAGACATGATGTTTCGAGTGTTACAGAAGCCTTTCTGTGCCGTAGTTAGCAGTCAGTGCAAAGTTTTCTCTTTTGCAAATAAAGGGGGGTTGTTCTTTTTAACCAAGATTCATCATCATCACAAATGAGCCCAAATGCCTAAGCCCCCAGACCATAGCATATGTTTATATATTTAATTGAGAATTTGAGAACTACTAAATTTGATTTAACAGGTTTTAAAGAAGTTAAGTTAAAATATTTAAATGAATTTACAGGTTAACATTTTAGTGCGCAACATAATCTTCTTAGTTTGATTTTGGAATTAACATGGATTTAATCAAATGCTACCAGTTAAATCTTCTGTCTAAGTTTCAGCTTTAGTTAATCACAAATATATCTAAGCAATTATCAATTGTTCCTTTAAAGCTCAGCCTATTTAACTTTGACCATTCTCCTAGATTCTACAAAATCGGTATTACAATTTCATCAAGTGACACTAATTCTGAATCCCCATGCAGCCTCTGGCAAATCATGATCATCGTGACTCTAAACTCTTCTACACCTATTCAGGTCATATTTGAACAGTCTTTTCAGTGAACTGTCTGTGTGGTCATGAAGGTTTAATCCACACTCAGTCCAGATGATTGGGAGGTCATGTAAAAACAAGGTTTTGCTTTGCCTCTGGGTTATCTTTGTTCTTCCCACAGAGATGACAAGCCTTTACATCTTGTCCATACAGGGTGTAATGGGACAATCTTAACCTTATCAACATGACCTAGAATTATTACTGATTGTAATATCAGTATTGTTCTGTTTTTCTGCACAGTAGTAACACCTGTGTTCCCATCATTTAGCTATAGTCTCAAATTAGGAATCCTGTGTAGATAATTTTTCTTCCAAAATATTAAATTTCCCTTTTAGTTATTTTGAAATATAGCAGATGAATCTTGTTTTGTAAATCATATTTTCAAGTCTGTTATGTAATGAGTTTTGCTACCAGTTTTGTTTTGATGTTTACATGATAGTACGTTAGCTCGCTGTGAACAAAACATGGTGCATCAAAGTGTCTGCAGAACGAAAGGCCTTTGTGTAAAACCAAAACCTCCACTATCACTCTGAGTTGTCTTGATATAATCATAGCATCCAACAAACAAAAAATACAAAAACTAAAAATATATAAACATGAATAAAGCATGATTGCAAGAAAACATATAGAAGTAAATAACATGTTTTCT